GGCAAAGACTCTTTCCATTCAGAATCACACTTCTTAGTTTGCTGCTGTTGTTGCTCTACATTCATCGACACCCCCAGAGCACTGAAAACACGTTAATGGAGACAATTAACACTGGAAAGAACGCAGCGGCAGACAGAAACAGCTGCACAAGCAGTGTAGGAGCGGTGCAAAGAGGACAGTCCTCCAGTTTGTCTTGAAATATCACCACTAAGAATGTGAGGAAGTGTTCCTGCGGCGAGAGGATGGTTCATAGTTTCTGGCGAAGCCCTGTATGTATCAGCGAAAGGAGAGTCTGACAGCAAACTGGCTTCCCCACCGTGAGAGGAAAATACTGTCTCTGAAATAGATACCAGCATTATCAGGCAAGCCATCTTCCCCAAAGTGCTCGCAATGGTGCAGTTCTGAGATGCAGGAGGAAAACAAACAGGCTCTGAGAAAAAACGTGTTGGGGGAAAAATCAGATAACTGTTTTTATAAATCACTTTTTAAGCATACTTGTCTGTTTGGAGGTTAAACAAGAGAACATTTGTTTTTCTGTATCACTTTCGAATAAATACAGATATATATATTTATATTCTAGGGTTATATTGTACCAACATCTCAAGCATTTTGTCTTTGTAACCACAAGACCCGAAACAGGCAAATTCTCACATCTGGAAGCTGTTTTCTTAAATTCTCCTTAATAAATAATAACCAAAACAAATATTCAGTCTTGCTGAGCAAATTTCTGTCTGCCAACCTATTAATTAGTCCCTTATCTTTCCCATTAACTGCATAACCTGAAACCAAAACAAAGTCCCTCATTTTAAAGTCAGATTTAGCGCAATGTGGCAAAAAAAAAGAACGAAAGAAACCACAAAAATCCCCCAAGTGTTTGGTCGAGTTTGTTTAAAAATCATATTATTGCAATTTTACAACAAGACAGTAATTTAAAAATTACCACAGTAATGATTTTCTGATTTAACTTTCAACCCGTGATTCAATCAGGTTGACGGATTCCAATTTCCTCCACTTTATCATCGCGCTCAGCAGTAATTTATCATTTGAGCAACAAAATCAATTTGTTCCCCTGTCCGCTGCACTGGCTGGGAGTACTCAGAGAGACATGTCACATCTCCCAGAAAACAACAACACAATGGAGGAGGCTTCATTTATATTCCTGCTCCAAGTCGGCACTGCCTTCGAGATGCCAAATTTCAGCATGTGCACACTTTCAATTAAAGCAAACAGCTGGATTGGTTTACAATATTTCCTTAATTATTTTAATAGCTTGGATATTGGACAATGGGGAGCAGGGGGAGAAGATAGTGAGTTAATTGTTCTGATCTCCCCTGATGATCATCTTTGTGTGCGGGGAGGAGAATAGACGGTTGGCTGAATGGGCTCGCTGCTAGTCTAATTGGCAGGACATAAATGGTATTTATTATGCGGGCCTTCCAAACCCTGATTGTCTGCGGCACAAAGCTGCCTCTATTAGCAGGGTGCTGGCTCTTACTGGTTGGTTTGAAATGACCCAGCGCTTAACCATTTATTAGTTGGACTGAAGGCCTCCTTGTACGCCATGGATCTCTCTAATTGGCATGTTTACCCATGCGCTGCTTTCCTGGGTGCTAACATTGGGATGTATTTGTTTAAATTTTTGACTTGAGGGGTCAATACATTTAACCCCGCAGCATTTGGGATTGTGTAAACTACTCTCAGACAAACACAAGTTCCCTTTCAAGTTCTGTCAACTTCCTTTACAGACCAATTCACCTGCTATTAGTAATACAGCGCTTTAATAGAATCAATTTTCTCTCCTCTTACAAGTAAAGGAGGGGAAATTGAATTATTTAATAGCCTGCTGTGAAGAAGGTAACCAGACTGAAGACAGAGAGTGTTTACCTCTCCTTTTCTCTGTACCTTATTACTTAAGAACAAAAGGCCTGTTTCTACGCATAGAGAAGCTTCGCTCTTTTTACTCCCCAAATGCTTGCCTTGTCTCTCTCTCCGCCTCACCTTGCCTTAAATTTGGATAGCTGGGATAAAGCAGTTTACCACGTCCACATTTGCATTTAAGTGCAAGCCCCCATACATTGTCCCCCGGAGGCTTTCTGATGTACTTTTCAAGGAGGTGGACCTCGGCAGCACAGAGCCCAGAAACAAAATGGACCAGCAGTTAAGAGAAGAGATCAAAGGAAGATCCCTGTAGCCTGGGGTTACACAAGTATGCCTGCCTAATTCTGCCGAAGATTCGTCCTGCAGTAAATGGTGCTGAGAGGAGAACAAAAGGACACGCTGGGAGTCAGCAGCGGTGGAGGCAGAAAGCAGGGCGATGACGGGGGGGGGGAGGGAGGGGAGCCTCTGCTCTTTGACCCCAGCCGGTAACCTGAGTCACACCAGAGTCCCGATAATAGGAGCTGAACAGATTAGTCACTTAACTGTGGCCAAACAGGAAGATAGAGAGGCAGTCTCACCGTGGATGTGACTCACTACATGTGTGTACTTGGAAAGGTGAACAGTGCTGGTGAGGGTTTTTTTCCACTGCTTGTGTTTTTTCCACCGGTAGCAGCAAAAAGTCCAGTACATTACTAACTTACTGAACATGCTTTAGCCTGCAGGCTTTAAATGAACTATAAAACTTCATAATCAGTGTTAATAAATGGCAAATTAAAAGAGCTACTTTACTGTTAACAGACCACAACATGATAATCAGGAGGTTTACTTATTGGCTAGTAATTCTTTTGTAAACCATTTATGTAATTCATCTGTAAAACCGCAGCTAATGTTTATAATATACCGTGCAGTGTGTTTATAAAGCTTTCACAGATGTGTATAACACTTGTTTTTAAAAGCATATAAACAGATGTGCTGTAAATCACATGAATGTGAACCTGGAGGCTGCTGCTTGTGTGCTGTTTCACCCACCATAGACTTTCATATTCACTAGCAGTTTTTTGGGTCTACGGAGTAAAAATGTTGGATTCCAATGCACCCCTTCCCTTTATTAACCCACATTTAAAAAGACAGAAATTAGGGGCCCTGTCACAAAATAGGAATAGGTCACAGTATCGCACAGATGTGCATGTCTCTGACACACCAGTGACTCTGACTGAATCAGAAGCTCTCAAACTGCAGGGGCATGGCACCGTTGTGATCTTTTTTAGAGAAGAAAACAAACAAGAGTTTGCTGATGCTATTGTGTTGATCTTTATTTTGCTCACATTCAACTTGGATCCTTTTTTTACTGCTAGCAGTCAGTACAAATTGTGCGTGTGTGAGTGCAGGGTGAGATTTTCATTAGTGCGACAATTAAGAGTTTTACAACCGCTGGACTAAATGGTTGTAATCGAGGCCCTGGTAATGAGAACTGAGTCCTTTACAAAATGACTGGATGATTTACTAACCATTAACAAATATAGCACAAGCACACATATGTGCAAATGAAGTTACAGCCTACAGTATATAATTTAAAATCGGTCATTTTATATTTAAGAAAATAACAAATACGTTAATAATGACGCTTCATTATTTGTGGAAAAAGTTATTAAATATCAACTTGTGATGATGCTAATTGCTGTCGTTGTCATCATCGCAGTTTATTTATTTGGTTTTTTAATTGAAATATAATATTAATGTCTGAGAGCCAACACCTCCTCACCTGTTTGATACACTGCAGACGGTCATTGGTCTGCTGTATGTGTCTGTCCATCGACGGAATCGAGTTCATGTTGATTGTCCCTCTTTGGCCTCTACCTGCCAGCCATTAAACTGGAGACTTCTGTAACACAAACACAGACAAATGTTAAGGCTCACCTCTTCCAAGGGAAGCTGCCAATTCCATCACCACCAGGATATTGCTGTTATAGTGTGTTTGTGGGTGTGTGTGTGTGCGCTGGGTGCTGTGAGCTGAGCAGGGAGATATTGATTTGGCAGGTGACAAGCACCTCAGAGAGCCCAAAGGATGACATTCCTCTCAGCTCCTGTGACACCCTTAACAAGCCCTGGCGGTTGCCCCGAACGGTGCCATACACCTTTGGAAATGACACACTGGACGTAGACAGGATGTCTGACTGTGTTTAAAGCACCTTGGGGTGAAAATGAACAGAGGTAGAGGGACACAAACACACACACACACTGAGTCGTAGCACCTCAGTCTGTCAGCATTACCTCAGAAACCTGCACGAAACCCTTCCATCCTGGCCTGTGAGAACATTAACTTGGCATGTGGTTCTCTGTTTACATTACTTAGCCATTATGTAATCTTTGGTTAACAATTATCTGTACCCTGGGCCCAGACTTGCTCTACATTTTACTCCCCTTTCTCCTCCTCCCTTCTCGCTCCAGCTACATAAGAGTTCCTCTAACAAAACCCCTTACAGCGCACTATTGATTTTGGAGTAGCAGCTTATAGAAAACCTTCTTCTTTTAGCAGAGAGAATAATATTTTATGGAAGGCAAACAATGGGGCTGTGAGCTGACATGCTACATACTATTATCACAAGTTAAAAAGTATCACCGGCTACATTAAAGGTTATCAATTTCGCCTCTAGGGGGTTTGATTTAATGTTGCATTCAGTGTCAAATAAATATTACACAAGGCTGTCGGCCATAACTCGTAGTGACCTGCAGCTCGAAGTGGAAGGTTTAGTGAATTAATAAGCGCGTTTATGGGTGGTGAAAAGTGTAACCTCCATCTTCTCCTCCGCCTCACTCCCCCTTTATCTCATCCTGTCTCAATCTTTCCTTCTCGCTACTGCAGGGGCAGCTCGTCCTGCGGTGCATCATCTCTCACTCAAACGCTCTTTCAGACCCCTCCCTCTCCACGCCATCCTTTTCCATTACCATCACACAGTGAGAAATTTCGCCGTACAAAGTACCTGAGAGATGAGGGAGCGAGGGGAGGAAAAAAAAAAAAAAAGGAGAGCGGGAGAGAGAGGAGGCAGCATGCTGCACCATACTGATAATGCTCACTTAGGGGTCTCTAGCTGGATTTAACGGCAGGGCCAGTAATCTACTCCACTAGACAGCTAAAGAGCTTTTATGCTACCTATTGGAGCTGCTCATGCCTGTACTTGAGAGGAGAGAAGGGCACACTAGTGCATTCCTCTCCATAAATTAGAAAGCTCATAAAGGGGGGGGGGAGATGTCCGAGTATTTTTTCCACTCCTCTTTGCAGATGGAAAGTGTTTTGTTTGTTGACATGTCTGATGTCTCACAGACTTACTGAATCCTCAGTTGAAACATTTGAAGTGGGCGTGGCTGAGTTCTGATAATGATTTGAGGAATTTAGCATAAAAAAACGATTGGGCATGGGTTTAAGTGGCTTTCAGATATCTACAGCTTAATCAAATAACATTCACATTTTATAACATGTGGTCACGGATACTCCTGTCAAACAACAGCTTCCTTAGTGACACATGTTTTATACATCCATCAGGTGTTTGCTGCTATAATACTCCCCCCCAGTCACCTCCTTCTGCCAGCTGATAGTGAGCTGATCCTTGGCAAGGGTGTCCCCAGACCACTGTGCTCCTCAGCCACCAGCAGGTGTCTCCCTGGCCCTTCAAAGGCCTGGCTAGTGGCACAAAGAAGGCGGAGCAGTGTTGCTTTAAGCCTTTACAAGCTCTACAAATCCTCAGCTGCTGCTTCCTAACAGGGCCCACTCAGCCCGGCACTGCCTGTCTGACCTTGTGGTTATTGATGAGCGAGTCGACCTGCTCCCTCCGACTCTCTCTCGTTCTCTTCCCTCCTGCCCTTCCCCTTGCTCTCGCTCTCTCACTCGTGCTCTCTCTCTGTCATCTCTCTTACCTCCAACAGTGAGTTAAAATGAGGGGAAAGAAAGGTTGGGCTGCCATTCACCTCCTCCGTTTTTTAACCGGTTAAACACACGGTGCAGGAATCGCTGTAAAGCCTACGTGTGCACACATTTACATGCATTTTCTTCCTAAGATAATGACTTTTTTTTTTTTTTAAATGGCATGGCAGTGTTGAGGTGTAATTTAATTTCCAGATATTCACTTGTTCTAATTAAACACTAGTCCTTTGTTATATCTTTGATGACTAACAAGAGCCAATTTACAGATTAAACCCATGATGCTACGGAGATATGACAGCAGTGGCAATTATGAGCCCGCCTCTATTTACAAGCTCTCATCTATCTTACAGATGCTATCGCTTATTATTTTCTCTGTGCTGCTACCTTTACGTGACGTTATTTGCCTTGATTCAGATAGTAACTCCGGCAATCCTGCCTGACGCTTCTGAGCGTGTGAGGGGAAAACGCTGCAGATATGTGCCTTACTTGAGCTTAATTTACTGCAAATTGCACAGCAGGCGTTACACAACAAGTTGAGCTGTGGATTCCTGCACAACAAAAGACTCGTGGGTGTGGGGGGAGTCGGAGAGTGGGACGAGAGCAGGGAGACCCGCTTCCCTCTCCTATTCAAGGGGGAGCTAAAATATATGTATTGAGTGGGAGCTGTAATAAAACGAAACGGGTGAGGAGATGCAGGCTGGGAACAAATATGAAAGGCAGTGGAGTATGGCGGCAAGGCGATGGAGCACCACCGGAGGATTGGATGAAATTATCTCTTTATAATCAGGGGGCTTCTGCATGGCTGCCTCCTCCATTGCCCAGTGACAGATGAGGCCTACCTCTTCAGATGGGCTTTTCACAGTGCTATCAGCCCACCTCTAGGGTAAAACAATGTTTTTCTTCCCCCTGTAACACTACTTTAAAGCTTTGTTTTCGCACGGCACCCCGCGGAGAGAGGACCGTCTCCTGTCAGACGGGGTCCATGTTTGTCTCATTACGTGATCATGTTACGTAAGCGTACCTTGAAAAGGGCTGCGGATTTAATTTGATGACAAAACTGTGCCACAGGAAGGGCTGGAAGAGGGTGACGCTAAACAATGTTGAATGAAGACACTAAAGCGCAACATTATCTGCAGTAAGTAAGAGGGAATTGCTTTTTGAACTGTCACAATCGCACAGTTTGGAATCTAAACATTATTTCAGACACCCAAAAACCTTCAAAGAGCGTTTCTAGCTTGTTAATGTAACGTAGATGAGCTGTGCGTCTCCGCTCTGCAGGATAAAAACAGTCGGAGAGGGAGAAAAGTAGACAATGATTAGCTTTATCCCGCCATCACAGCAGAACAAATGGATCACGAACCCGCGCCGCTTTACACAGTCTCTCAACTGAGCTGTTGAGGCGCAGGGAAGTGGTAAACAGATTTAATTTATTCATATAAATGGCTTGTGAACCAAAACAGTCAGGCCACTCTGGGAGCGAGCAGTCTTGTTAAAGGATATTTCCAGTTTATTACATTTCTTATTTCCGTAGTTTTGGCCATTGCTCGTGATAATATTGTGCTCTCCAAAGTAATTGCTGAGATCTGGAAGCACAGTGACAACGCAACTACAAAGTGCGATAGGGCAAGAAATAAGATGTCAGACAAGTCGACAGGCCATCAATTCAGAAAAGATATTTGAAGGTAATAAAGTGTGCATACCTATGATATGGATTAGAGCGTTTTACTTCACAGAGAAAACAGCACATATAATGCAAGAGCAGTGAATCAAAGTTGAACTGGAACATCAGTCACTAAACTATGATGGATGCTGATAACACACAGGCGGGGTAATAATTTTAGCTCATGTGGAAGTTTGCTTAAAATCTATACAATCGCCTGAGAGCGTTTCCTTCGTGCCCTCCTGACTCGTGTACCACATTTGAATGGAGACATTTTTCTGAAGCGCATCTCCCGAGGCGCTCAAAAGTATTCGTCGACATGAAAAGGTGAGAGAGTGAGTGCGGCTACAGGTGTAGAAAGACAGCAAACCACGCTGGCTACCATCCCGACCACACGCACGCACGCACACAAGCACACAGATCTTCTCACCTTCCCTTGAGTGCTGGGCCGGCATCATGATACCATAACAACACCCTCAGTCACTCGTAATGTGCTTTACAACAACACTACAGGCAGGGTGTTACACCTCCGCAGAGCAGTGTGAAACACCCCCCCTCTTCTCGACACACACCAAAACACATGCACGCACACACGCCTCGCTAATCGAAAGCTACTAAGCTAAGCACTGCTGACACTATTAAATCTGAACAAGGTGGCCTCAGTGAAGAAATCAGCATCATTCTCATACCTTATGGGGACATGTCAAGACTCAAGGTGATCACGTCTCCGTGAGTCATCTGTTGTAGGTGAATTAGGCAATAAAGGACTAATCTGCACCATCATTGACTAGGGGTCTGCTGTTTGCAGCACTTGCTTAAGGGTGATAAAGATGAGGGAGTAGGAGGAGAGAAGGAAGAGGAGGAGGGGGAGGAAGCATCTCTTCACCCTCATGATTTTAATGAGCTTTGATTCCGAGATATGTCTTGTTTTCTTCCGACTGTCGGCTGAGGCCGGCGTGAAAGCTCTCCTTTAATTATCTCAACATTGTAGAGAAGACCGTTTTTGGGTTTTTTTGCACTGAGGGATGGGCGTTCAGTTTAGAGAGGGCACCTCTAGGACTCCAGGTGTCTGCCTGGTAAGTGGCCAGGCAGGCAGCGAGGACAAAGCTGTGTTTGTTCGACGGAGGAAAAAGCAGAGAGGATGGAAATGTGTACGTAACAGTGCTTCTTCCATTGTTGCCTTACAGAATGTGCCATAATCCCCGGCAGGCTCCATCCAGAGCTGGCACGGAGGATAATATGAGCTGCCTCCTGCCTGTCCCACCTCCCTGCTCTACCTCCCCTCCCCTCAGCCCTTCTCCAG